TTTATATAGCTGGCTAGAGAAATCCTCTGATGAGGTGCGATTTCAGTAGAAAGCTGCAGTAGTTCTGGCCTGATCTACAACGATAGCTGAGGAAGAGCATCTGGGGAAGAGGAGCAGGTGAGAAAGCCTGTAGGGCGAGCAGTTACTCTGTATCACAGTTCCTTGCTTGTTTCCACATCACAGTTCCTATATATCACACATATTTATCTGTCCTCCCCCACAATAGAAGCTACAAGTGGGGGCAGGGATCACGTCTGTCAATCCCGGTGTCCAACCATGCAAAGACTGATTGTTCACAACGTGTTTATTGAATGAGTGATCCTTGTTGCGGTCAAGTAATTTTTCCGCGATAATTACCGCGCTTTCTAGCAGAATCCCGACAGCTCCGTGAGGCAGGCAGGGATAATTATTGCCACTCTACGGATAAAGGTGAGGCTCAAAGAGAAAGGAAGTAAGGATAGGGAAGAATAACTAGTTTTCTGGCGGATTTCGAACAAGAAAAGACCTCAGGGCCTGAGGCAAAATTAAAGGCCGTGACGACCAGGAAAGAGGCGGCATGATACGACACCTCCCCTGGTACACGAAGCCGAACAGGGCCTGGGCGGAGAGTGGGGAAGCCGCTGTGGAGCGAGTCCCTCCGAAGACACTCACCTGGTCCACGTCGTCCGCCATGTTTCAAACCCTGCGCCCTTTCTCGCCTCTCGCGATATCACGCCCCTCCAGTCTTCGGAAACGCGAGGGCGCCATGCACCGGAAGTAGAAAGAAATTTGTTTTGCACTTTCTTGCTTCCTGCAGCTTGCATTGGTCACTTGGGACTGGGACGGAGCTTCCTCTGGGGGCGTGTGCTTGGTCCATCAAGGAGGGGCGTGGTCATGCCTCTCCCCGCCTTGGGGTGTAGACCACGCTGGTGCAGCTTCCCGTGGTTTAGTGCGTCACTCGCGGAGCGAGTACTGCCCGGGCTACATGGCTCGGAAGCGCTCAGCCAGCAGGGAGCTGCGGGGACGCGAACTGCGCAGCCAGAAGGCCAAGGGCGAGAGCACGGCTGGGCGTGAGGAGAAGGAGGAGGGTGAGAGCGAGGCTGAACCGTGTTTAGGGAGAGATGCTGAAGGAGATCCGGAAGCAGGCCCGGGTGCGGGGAGCGGGGAGGCCGGTTTCCTGGAGGTGGGGGGCTGAGGCTGCTCAGCGCCCGTCTGCGCTAAAAAGACAACTTGACCGTGGCGGAGGGAACTGGCGTTTGTGCTGCTGCCCCGGTCCTCCCCGTCGCTGTGCCTTTTCTCTCACGCGAGGAGTGACGCACCTTGAGCGGTTTCCCTGGAGCCCAGCTAGACCTGGAGCTCCCCTGCGTAACCTCTTTCCTGCTCTCTGTTGCCCACAGGATAAAGTCCAACCTCCTGGTAGATACAAAGGGCTAAATAGGGAAAAGGCATTGTAGTTATTTTGTGGTCCCAGAAGACCGGAACGTAGAGTGTTGTGGGTGTGCTGACTCCCAGAATAATTTCAGCTCAATCTCACCCCAGAGTTCCAGATTTGGATCCAACCTGAGTCACGTGGATATCGAATAGGCTTCTTAGGTTTGTCATGTGCAAAGCAAAAGTCTTGATGTTCCCGTTTCCACCTGCCCCTTCCCCACTTTTTCCCGTCTCAGTAACTGATCCTTCACCCGCTTGTTAAAACAAAAAAACAAACCCCTCATTTTCCATACACGCACACATCCAATCCTTCTGCAAGTCCTGTCGGTTCATCCTCAGAACTATATCTCAAATCTCTCCACTAACCTTTATTCCCATGGCCACAGCCCCTGCCCAAGCCACCGTCACTTGTCACTTGAACAACTGCAGTTGCCTCTGTTGGTCTTCCCCTCCTGTCCCTGCAGTAATTCTCCACCCAGCAGCCCAAGTGATCTTTAAAAAACAAAACCAGATCATGCCACTTCAAACCCTCTGTGGCATCCCATTATCCTCTTGGTGTAAAATCCAAATGCGTCATTGTGGCCTGCAAGATCGTACATGGTTTGGCTGTTGCTACCTCTCCTTGTTTGTCTCCTACCCCTCTTGTTTGCCAGATACGCTCCTTATTGGCCTCCTTTCTGTTCCTCAAACATGCCATTTTTCTCACCTTGAACCTTTGTCTTTGATGTTCTTTCTGCCTAGAATGTTCTTCCATGGCTCGTGGCTGTGGTTGATTCTTCTATTCCGTCAGATCTCAGCTCGGACACTTCTTGAGTGCCCTATCTAAGGTGTCCTTCACCAGGTGCTCGCTATCACAGAGGCCCTCACAGCTTCTGTCACAATCTGTAATGATCTTGTTAATTTATTTGCTTCCTTTTTGATCACCCATCTTAGAATTTAAGCTTCGTGAAAGCATCTTATTTTTTTATTTATCCTCTTTGTCTCACACCCCCAGCATATACTAAGTGCGTAATACATATTTTAAGTAATTGCAAAATGTTTGCTGTAGAGGGATTTTGGGGGTTCCTGAAATAACTGGGTAGTAGATTAGACTGGGTAACCAACAGGGGTGCCTGTGACACTAGATCCAACAATTCTGTGATTCTGTACATATTACAAGGTAATCATCCATTAGAAAATAATCAAATGGTAGCAATTTCTAAACTTAAAAGGTCATTTACTTCACATTTAATATTATGAGTTCCATTTAATTCATTTACTCATTAAAATAATGTTTGAATATTTTCTGAGTATCTAGTTGGTGCTGTATATGAGCTAGGTGACGAGGGAGATAGAGGTTTCTTGAAGGAGCTTGGAATATAGGAGTGTTGACATTTACAAAGATTATTCAAGGCAGAGTGTGATATTGTGGGAGAAGGTACAGGGCTTTGTGGCTTCCGAAGGAGTAATCGAGTTTGGCTGGAGAGATTGGGAAATGCTCTCTGGAGGAGTTACGTTTGATCTGTGATTTTAAGAATGGGTAATATTTCAGCAAGCGGCTGTGAAAGGGGGTTAGTATTATAGTCAGAAGGAATGTATTCTGTCTGAATATGTGGCAACTCAAAATTAAAAGTTTTAATCTGATGGAAATGCGACCTGCTTGGGTAGCATTCCTTCTAGCTAAACACTTCACCTGGGCACCAGCTTGGTATAGCTCCAACACTCAGTAGTTATATGCACTTGGGTAAATTATTTTGGACAGATAATTTAGCCTTTCTAAACTTGATCTGTGAAACGTAATACTACCTTGCAGGGTGGTTGTGATTTTTCAGTGAGATAGCATATAAAGTTCTGGCATGGTCCATGTTAGGTAATCTGTTGGGCTAGCACGTATCAGTTTAGTCTAAATGGAGGTAAGGATGCACCCAAGCTTAACTCGAATCTGCCAACCAGGGGAGCTAGTAATAAGTTCTTAAGGCAGTTTCCAGGATCTGAAGAGTGAGAATCTTTGCTGTGGCTCCGTGGAGGAACAAATGTGGTTTGAACTGCAGGTGACACTAATTTAGTGACTTGTTTCTAACAGCACAACAGTGTAGGTTTTAACAGCACCTTAACGCATGCATTGAAATTATAGTAGTGAACAAGACAGCAAGGTCCCTGCTTATAATCTTTGGAGAGGGCCAGATAGGTAGAACAGACAAGAAGTTAAAAATAAATTCAGATGGTGATAAGAGCTATGAAGAAAGTAAAACAGATTACTGTAATAAAACTGACATGGGAGTGGGGAAGAAGCAGCTAAGAATCAGTGGTCAGGCAAGGCCTCTGTGAGGAGGTGACATTTTGAGCCAGTTATTGAGTGTCCTGAAGGTACCATTCATAGGAGGTTCTGGGGGAAAAGAATTCTAGGCAGAGGGAACAGTAAGTTTAAAGACTCTTAGGAGGGAATGAACTTGGCCAGTTGGCTGGACACAGTGAGCGAGGGGGCGAGTGGCAGGAATTAATGAGAGAGGTGGGCAGGGCCCTTAGTGTAGAGATCAAGCTAAGGAGTTCGTATTTTATTCTAAATGCTACGAGATGCCACTGGCAGTTTTAAGCAGGTGTTCTTATTAAATCTCAGTAGATGGCCAAGCAAACCACAGTGGTAATTCCTGCCCTACTGAAACAACCACATTGAGTTCAAGGAGGCTGGTGAGCCATATGAAATAGCTCTAGATCTTGGAGACTCCTAGAAAATAGCCTCTAGATTCTGTGGAACAAAAACACAGCAAAGAATAAAGAAAAAAAGTCATTTATATGTCTACCATCCAGAAATAACCACCACTAAACAGTGGTATAGTTTCTTCTAGTCTGTTGGTTTGTACAGTAGAAACCATACTCTCTCTCTCTCTCTTTCTTCAAAGCACAAAAATAGACAGCTGTACCTTTAACCAACCACATAACTTTGGTGAGAAGCTAACGGTGCTTCTGAAGTATGCTGCATTTTTAGATCAGTAAAAATGAAATATTTTGCATCTTTGCTTATTAATAGAAAGCTAAAGACCATTATAAGATATGGAAATCCTGATTTTAAGGGCACCCTACTCAAACTGTCAAGTCAAAAAACTTTAAGCAGCTTCTGGCCTTGGAATAAAATATCTGTTTCTAGATGCTAAGTAATTATGAAATAATTTGTTTCCATTAAAATATTTAAACCATTGGAATGCATAAATTTTTTATATGACACTTAAAAGAAACAACTGAATCAGTGATTATATACCTAGCATTAAAACAAATGCCCCTCTAATGTGAAATTTAATAAAATTAAGTTATGACTTTAGATCAAAGGGAAGCGTCTTTTTCCCCATGCAAAAGTATATTCTTGGGGAAATATAAATACCTATCTAAAGAGTCAGCAAGACAAACGGTAAATGAAAGGAATGAATTAATTTGATATTTTAGGTTAATATTACAGCTCCTTTTGGAACCCCAATACAGGCTAGAGTATTTTTGTTTCCCAAAATTAATTGGGAAGCAGGGTCATGCAAAGGCAAAGGAAGATGATTTATTTCAGATTCAAGATTATTTGCATGGGGCCGGCTGAGTGGCACATTGGTTAAGAGTTGGCTTGGGACGCCATCTCTGAGCAACAGGGCCCCGGTTCAGATCCCACATGCAGGCCAGTGATGCTGCGCCCTCTACAGCTAAGATGGTGAACAACAGCTCAACCTGGAGCTGGACTGCCAGTGAGTCGCTGGCAACAGCGTAGGCTGCAGTGGAGCTGGCAGGCAGCAGGCATGAGCTTTCGTGAGCTACCGTGAGCGGCCGTCCAATGGCCAGCGAGCGACTGCCTCACTCGGGAAGAGCGCAGTGATAATACCAACATGGGCCAGGGAAGCGATGTCCTCCACAACTAGACTGAAGAACAAAAGGACAGCAACTTGTCTGTTCCCCTTCCCCGATTCCCCAATGCTGTTCCCTCCTCCAATTCCCCAATAAAATCTTTAAAAAAGATTATTTGCATGAATATATTTGTAAAATAGAAAAATATTCTCTTCTGCCATGTAATTTATAAATTATATATTTCTTAAAAATTAACTTATTAATATATTTATGTTAATAAACATCAGGTTTTTAGATACCCTAATTTAAAGCCAGTAGCTTATGCATTTTTACATTTCTCTTCAACCAAAAAAATAATTATTTTATGAAAATAAAGATATAGTATATGAATTACCGCTATCTTATTCTAACCCTAGGTTTGCTGAGATGGTTGTTTGGTATACCAGTGCCATTTGGGTTAGATTGGAAAGGTTTCATAAAGTATGTATTTTAAGCAGAGTTTGGTTTTAAAAGATGGCAGAAACATGAATTAGTAAAAGTAAAGTAGTGGTAAAATTCGGCCATGTTTATAAACTCAAAACATTTCACTTAACGGGTGAATTATACCTAAAATAAATGATTAGTATTGGCAAGCAGTAATTAAGCAAGGTGTTAATTAATGGATTGATGTATTTTCCTTGCTGGATATTTGCTGAATTTTAAGATTTGGGAGTTAGATTGTATTTGAGTCATGTGGTCTGAAGAGTCTGTGGTCTTAAGAGGAGTAGAATAAAATGCCAATAAAGGAAGATGGTTTTTACCGTGAGCATAGGGTGTAGACTAGACTGGAGATGGGAAGAGGCTGAAAGCTGGTTGTTAATCAAACAGGGGATTGGTAAGCTGGTGATGGAGATGTGGTTTGGAGGGAAGTACAGAACAGGAGTTTTCACAACCCTGCCGTGAAAGCACCCTCCGTCCGCCTTTCCTACTGTCCCTTACCTCATGTTCTATGTGGTCATCTAGATATCTTTGAAGATGAGAAACCCCCAAAGAAGAGACTGCTCTCAAAAGTCTCACAAGGAAAGAGGAAGAAGGGCTGCAGTGATCCTGGGGGCCCAGCAGATGGTCCAGCAAAAAAGAAAGTGACCAAAGTGACTGTTAAATCTGAAAACCTCAAGGTTATAAAAGATGAAGCCTTCAGTGATGAGGAAGATTTCAGGTGAGAGGTCTTGATTGTTCCTATCAGAGAAGTGTGAATAATAAAACCTGCTCTTTTTGCTTGTCACCGGGATCTGTAGAGAAAATGAGATCTTTAAACTCTTCTACAATAGAATGAGCTGAGACTACTAGTAAGAGCTAGAAAGAGTCTTAGCGATTATATACTTCACCTCCCAAACTTTTCAGATGAGGACAATGACAGCTTGCAGAAAGTGATTTATTTGTGATTACACAGCTAGATGGTGGCCAAAACCAGGATGAGACCTAGGTCTTCTGACTCCTGGTCCTGAGTTCTTCCTACTACACAAAGATATTACATACACAGAATATTCCAGCTTTGTCTCCTACTACTCTCCTCAAGTACACTCTGCCCCTGACCAGCTGGGCTTCTCCTCACGCACTCGATATGTGCTCATGCTTTCCTACCTCCAAGTTGTGCCCATATTCTTCCTTCTACCTGGAGTGCTTTCTTCCACCTTGAAGATACAGATCAGAAGTCATCTACGACTTCATTGAGTCTTTCCTCTTCGCTCCTCTGGTTTCTTGCAGCGTCTCTTAAGAGTATAACTTGTCTACCTCGTGTTACACTTACATATTCTACATATACTTTCCCACCCTGTAAGCTCTCAGAGGCCTGGAATCACGCCTGGCTCCGTGTTGTATGGCCTATGTCACCTAGGGCAGGCAGGGCCTTGTATTTAGCAGAAACTGAACAAGTGATTTTGCGGTAAATGAACATTCATATGAACATGTGGTGAATGATAAATATAAGCCTAGTGAACACTTGATTATCTGCCTCCTAGGAAAATTGGGGGAGGTGAGGAAGAAGCACAGAGGGGCGGTAGGCAGTAGTTCCTTCTTTGCTTCAGAATTAAATCCGCACTCTTCGTGTGGGCCTTTCCAGCATTCTGTAGTCCTGGTGAAGGAAAGTAATCCTGGCGAGGGCAGCAGTAGAAAGGAGCATAAGAAAGCGTGCAGATTTTCACCGTAATTCATCTCTCCTTTTCCCTTAGACTTTTCCTAAGACTGCCTCTGAGCTTACTGCTTGCCAGTTGTGTCCTTTCTCCCCCCACTACTTGAATCCTGTCTTAGTGACAGAAAGACCAGGATGCTGCCAAGGAAAACCCTGGATCTCCCTTTCTTTCTCAGTTGAGAGTTCACGATCAAACCCATAGCATATGGACATTTCTGCTGTGTTATTCTAATGGGAAATTTTTGTTTCTATGGTGTTCAAAGGGGTGGGCTAAAAAGAGAGTATGCGTATTATAGCTGAAGACTGAGGATTGGTTATTTTAAATCTGTGCTAAAATCTTAGGTAATATTCTCACTTGATACCAAGGGTCAGACTTTACAGAAGCTAAAAATAACTCAATACTCTACACATATTTGATATATAAATGTGCAGAAATATACAGATGGTCCCTGACTTAGGATGGTTTGACTTAGGATTTTTCAACTTTACAGTGGTGCGAAAGTGATAGGCATTCTGTAAAAACCATATAGTTAAGCCCTTTACTTAACATCAATAGGTTCTTGGAACTGCAGTGAAATGGCATAT